CAGTGGTATATACATAATATTATATTATTTGTTTAAAATTCCCGTAGTGTGAAACATTAATAATAATTATTGTAACATCGCACTACGAATCAAAAAAAAAAAACGATATGATTTTAACTGAAAATATTATAATCTAAAATTTAGAAAAATGAACGTACTTACGCAAATTCAGAAACGTCAGATAATGATTATATGTTAAATAAATGGCTATCATTAAATATGATAGCTAATGCTTAGCAATTTCTGAGAGAAAAAAATATATTATCTTAACACTAGAACATAATTTTATATTATTTTATCCATACAACGCAGATTCTAATTTATTTAATAATATTTTAAACGAACAACTAACAAAGCTCTAAGGCATGCGTAAGCGTTTCGCCGTGAGACGATTTTGAATAATCATTAAGATAATAATGGTCCATCATATTATGTATAAATCCATTTACTTGATTATATTCAGCAAAAAAATAAAAAGCTTAAAAACTAAATTGTAAGAATGACAGGCTGTAGAAAAAAAAAACAGAAATGATAATATTGCTTATAAATGTTGTGAAAAATATTTTAAACACAAAAATTATTATAAATTTTGGAATGTGAAATAAAAATATAAAGTATGACAAATTTGTTGAAATGCGTATTATTTATTTATAGTGGTCAAGCTCACTGGGTATTGGACCATTACTGCAAGGTGACGGCGAACGTGATGAATAAAACTTAAATAAGAAATATAAATTGCTAAAATATAGATAAGTAATCGAATTACGCTGCTCGTTGGTCACTAAAAAACCAATTTCCGAAATATGCAAAATTACGATCCAAAGTTATTATTATTCACACTCATTAATTTCCACAAACAAATACCTTTCAATAAGTTGTGTTCAGTCGAAAATTGGCTGGACGAATCGTCTCTTAAACGTGGTGACAATCGTTGGCGTTTATAATATTCATAAGGAACGTATATTATGTCATATTTGCCTCGATAAATTACTCCTTTCTCACGCACACATCGTAATATCAAATTTCTATGTCTTAAAACGTCTATATACCTATGTCAATTATATGTTTTATGCATCCTGTAAAGCGAAATACCAAGCAGTAGTCGTTAAGTCCGTAGAAATGAACGGTCGGTACTAAATTGATTAAGACACGAATTCTCGTCGAGTTTAAAGATTCCATTTAACGGTATTTTTGTGAACCATTTTATATAGTTGTAGAAGACGATATTGCGTATAATACGGGTCATACAAAATATGTTTATGGTTTGGTTGACTTTTAGCTTTATCCACCATAAACTATTATTGCCGTAGTATTTTTGTATTATTTGAATATGATATTATTATGTCAGCCTATATATTTTACAGCGCATTGTTTGGACTCGTGATATTAATAATGAACGTTTGGTCGTGTAAATTTACGTCGGTCATACTTATATAGTTATATGCATAGTACATACATACATACATACATACATACGTACATACATATATACATACATTATACTTATATAATGCATATATTATACATATACATTCATACAAACATAATTCACACATGAACATTATATTATATTATATGAATCTGTGGTTCGATTGTTAAATTCGTATTCAATCTCGCATTGCGATAATGACAAAGTTCGGCGAACGTACTAACATACCGGATCGTGATTAAAGGCTGCACACGATTGACAGAGACTGTCGTCGGAGTATAATGACGGTGATAAATTGCGTGCGCCCTTTCCCATGGTCAACTGCATATTATAGTGATCGTCGTCAACTGCATAAGCATAATATGTATTATTATTATTATTATTGTCGAAATATCTCCAATAATACTTTTAACGTGGGGTTTCTTAACCGGTGGTCGGTTGATTCCTGCGGGGTCCGTAGACGATTACTCGAGAGTCCACAGAGTGGCTGAGAGTTTTTTTTTAAATAACCCAAAAATTGAGCAAACTCAGAAACTAATATTTATATTGTAAATGTTAAATTTTAATATTTTCGTTAGCCGGAGTGGTCGTTAAATTTATCCATATTTCGCCACTCGAAATACAGCACCGGTCGTTATTGGGTGTTTAAATTATATCAAAGTTAAAATGATAAAAATAAAAAAATGTGTTGTTTTTTTTTGGGGGGGGGGGCGGGAGAGGAGTGAGAGTCATTGATTATGTTTTATACTTGAAAGAGGTCCACGACCCGGAAAAGGTCAATAATATGTAATGACGTGTGGTTCTTTAGACCTCGTGAAATGTCATCGATTTGTTCGTACCCGCACATTAGTTCGGAAAAGCGGCCGGTAATAATCTTTTGCTATCGAAGCGTTTGCCATAACATAATAATAATAATACGAAAACGATAGTAAATCGCAATACCAGCGGTAAATCCGCTAGTGTGGTATACGGTTTGAACGATTTATGCCAGTTCGCCTAAACCTATCGTTCCCTGCTGCTGTCACTCGTGTCTCTTGCTCTGTCTCGTCTCGTCTCCACGCACTAGCTGTAACCGTTTCGTTCCCGCCGCCGCACCAGGAATTTAATATCAAAGTTTTTGTGTCGTCGAAGGCACGCGATGGGTATTAAAATTAATCGACAAAAAGCAAGTGTTGTACGTGTGCACACGAAAATAATATATCGCTCACAGGTCTCTCTCAAACACACACACACACACACACACACACACACATACAATTACACTTGTGTATTTTATTATATATAAAATACGAACGAATGTGTACTTTGGTGAATTTATATTAAAACGTCCTCTCCACCGTTGTCTTTTCTCCTTATATTTATATATATATATATATATATATAGGACACGAGACGATGCCGTCGTCGCACTGTAACTCGCTTCAGAGGATTAACGCGCAGACTTTAAAAACTTTTACTAATCCCTTTTGGCAACGCGAGTCTTAATAAAATAATAATATGATATAGTGTATAATACCCTACCTACCTATATTATGTGTAACGAAATAATGTTCGCTCACTGCAATATATTATTTCGACTCGTTAGCTCAGTGGAATGATAATATTTCAATCATGGTCGTATTTCATACGTGTAGATATTATTATTATGCTCAAATACGTATACTGGAACTGATAATGTGCGTTTGCGAAATATGTCTTACGATGTGACGTCACACTCACGATAACATATCATTAGGCTTATTATTAATTCTCTTCTGCGCCTTGAAGAAAATTAAAACAATTATTATAAGAACTTCGACTACTGTTGACTACGGGTGCCGTATCACAGTATGATCGTACTGATTCGTACTTTGATTACGCTTTTGAGTGCTTAAATCAATACTTTATAATGATAATATTAATACTCGTTATTCACTTATAGAATATTATGTCGTCTAAAACTCTAAACTAAAAATGGTCCGTTGTATGGCCCTGCGCAATTGCTGCAGTTCCACGTAGACACTATGCACCACAATGCAATTTGATCCTTATTGGACCTAACCTAAAGGACTAGTTTTACCTTTGTTGTAGACAAATCGTCTTTTACCAACCCTGCAGTATTAAATATTGTAATTTATTTTCCTTTCATCGTCCGATTTAATGCAATAATACAGGCTGTGTCTCATAATATAAGCCGAGTGACTCCATCGCGGATCGCGGCGACCGATTTTCATCCGGTTCGGTCAGACCAAATCCCTCTACTAAATAGGTTTTCGTCGAATTTCGTCTTCTATTGCTTTCGTTTCCGGCGGTCGGCCGCTATACCTTGGTAATTGCTTTACCACGTTAACCTTGGCGAAATTCGAGTTTGGTGGTTGTTGAAATAATAAAGTGAAGCCCGGCATTCCTTGTAACCACACCAATTGCTGTTGCCCGAGGTTATTTTTACACGGGACAGAGTACACATAGTTCAACCAAATCTCTATTTTCGAACGAACTTGACGGTTCTTTTGAAACAGTTAATATTCGTTAAATTGTAAACATTTCGTCAAAAACCAATTACATTTTTTTCACTCGTAACTGCACGAAATTTATGCAAATAAGCGCATGTACTGCAATAATAACGTACAATTATAATATTGTTTGGTATTAAATAATATCAACAATAGCTTTATGTAAGTGTGTAAACTATATGAATAATATAATATATTATAAGCAGTTATAGTCGGAAATAAATTGTAAAGATAAAAGTTACAGATATATACCGACCTACTTTATAATAGTAACTATAGTTTGAAATGTATTTAAGAATTTTTAAATTTATTGTAGAACGATTATAATATAAAAAGAAATTCGATGAACAGAAACTTTTTTTAACATAAATATGTTTTTGGGATGGGTAAAGATATTATATTTTTCTAACCGATTTTGCAAACTAGACGTTCTTGTTGTCATGGTTACATATTAAAGGATGCAGATTTTTGTTTCATAGATTTTCCTTCAGACGAAAAACTATGAATCATAAATATGTTTTTGTTAATAAGTAACCATGACAGCGAAAATCTTACCTGACATCTGTAGAAAAGTCAAAATACCTGTACCCAGCCTAAAACCATATTTATGCTAAAAACAAGTTTCTATTCATCGAATTTATTTTATATTATAATCGTTCTACAATAAATATAAAAATTCTTAAATACATTTTAAACTATAGTTATTTATAAAGTCGGTATACATAGGTAACATTTATCTTTACAATCTACTGTCGACAACAACTATAGTTTAATTAGTATACTAATAATTCAAAAACATATTTATGTTCAAATGCATTATAATATTATATTATTGTTAAGACGATAGTTTTGTTTAATATGAATAGTTTCGACTATGTCCACAATGATGCGTGCGTTTCACTCGTCATATTATTATAAAACGTCTTTTCTCTCGTTTGAAATTATTTATATTATTACAAGTTATGACATTGCTACCAACATATTATTATAATCCTATAATATTATTATTGTTGTGATCGGTTGCAGGCTCGTGACGACAACGTTTTGCATCGGTCGCCCACGCTCAGATCGGCCGTCGAATGAACGAGTTTGACGACGTTGAACGCGAATCCAGTTCGCCACTGGACTTTGGCGTGGCGGACGTGATCACCACGACTATTGTGTACCTGACGTGCACCGTCGCGGTGTACCTGCTGTGCACATTCGTGGAAGACGACACTGACGAATCGGCCACGCTAGCGCCGGACGGCACCGGGACACCGGACACGGCACCACCGAGACCGGCGGCATCAGTAGCGTCGGAGACACCTGCGGCGGGAGCCGGAGGATCAGGAGCAGCGTCGCCTACGCCGCCCACTCCACCGTCCGCGGCCCAACCACCGGCCGAGACGGGAGAAGCGTCGCCGGCCGCGGTGCCGGACATCATGGGACGCGAGAAACGCCGACGGTGATCGGTGTCGCGGCCAATGAACGGCCAACCGACCGTGAGCGTCACGGCCCTGGCGCTGACCGTGGCGATCGTGGCCGTGGTCGCGCTGTGGACTCCCGCCGCGTCCGCGGCCACCCTTACGCGGGTCGTGCAGACCCGGTACGGAAAGCTCCAGGGCGTGGTGCGCACTGTGGACGCGGCTGTGTCCGCAGCCGCCGGCGCACCGCCGTCCGCCACCGTCGACACTTTCCTAGGGGTGCCGTACGCCACGCCACCCGTCGGCTCCAATCGTTTCGGTCCCACTCGCACCCCGTCGCCCTGGGACGGCGTCCGCATGGCCGATGCCCCTGGCCCTGTGTGCCCTCAACGCTTGCCGGACGTGTCTAACGAGACGGCGGCCCTGCACCGCATGCCCGTCGGCCGACTCGTCTACCTCAAGCGGCTGTTGCCGTACCTGCGCAACCAGTCCGAGGATTGCCTGTACCTGAACATCTACGCCCCTTCCCAAGGTAAGTGACATATTTTACCGATCGTATTATCGATGGGTTGGCGTGGGGTTTGTGTGGTTGTGGGATGGGTAACGAGGATCAGAGAATCTAACAGTTGGTCGGGGGAGTGGAGACCGAAAATAAAATAATTATGTTATTAGAACGTTCTTTGATAAAAGCAAAACACTGCACGGGTCTGAAATCTCACTTCAATATCGCATTAAATCTCTGAAATAAATTCACTTAAGATTCCCCCAAACAGTTTCTACAGGCGACTGGGTCTTTAAAATGTCATCTGAAAAAGGATGGGTATTACTTTGACCTCTCGAGCGCAATCCCGACCATCCGAATATTTCGTAATATTGGAAAGATTTTTGACCTCGTTGGGACCAACCCTAAAATTATTATTTATTTTTTTTTCATTCTATTTCGAGTTTGGAATTAAATTAAAATATATATTTTTGACGGTTGTCCGGAAATGTCTACAATAAGCTTCTTATTTCTCGTTACATCCTACGAGTCGATACAAATAACTCGCAGCGTGTTTGCAGTGTACTAGAATTATCGAGCTCTCTAAGACGATGTTTTGACGGCAACGCGTACAATAATAATACTTAATCATCGCATGTACTGGTCTGAAAATATTACACAGTGCGTTGGCTCCTGGCGAAAAATAAATTATAGAAAACATAATATATTGGGGACTTACGCTCAAACTTTAACAACAACAAGAGCAACAACAACAACCGCTGCGTGTTACCGCGGTCGGTCGTTATGCGAGTTGCCGTAATCATAATTCATGTTTTAAACCGACCGCACCTAAACCCGCGGTGACTTAAATGTTCCTACGGTAGCTTTAAGACTCGATGGTTTGCAAAGACAAACCGTAACAAGAGAATAATATTTAAACTCGAGTCGTTCACGATAATAGCCGCAGCAGTAGTAGTTATCTCTCGGGTGGAGTATAAGATATAAAAAAATAAATAAAAGACAACGCTTATTATTATTATTATTACTATGGTATATATACATTAGACGCTGGCAGAGATCCGTACTTCCAACCCCCCTCCACCCCCCCAAGAACACCGAAAAGTAATCCATAACAATAAATTCGTATTAGTAGCACAATAATAATATGGATATATATGTATACCTACATAGGTATTAGGTTCAGTGTACGTGTTTAATGTATATACGAGTGTATATATATTATATAGTTGATACGCTTACTTACAGTTGTAGTACACTTATATTATTATAATGACGTTCATCCGTTGAGCGTTCCGATTTTTTCCCCCAATTTTCGCGACGTAGAAATCCGCCAAATTCTATTACCTTTGGGCCACGATATATTGCTTGATTATAATATAACGGTCTAAAATTAATATGCATATGATAGAAATAGAAAGGCGCGCGCTCAAGCAGAAAATTGAATCTAAGTGTATAGGTATATTATTATTATGTTGTTATTATTTAACTCCAGACTTCGTTGGAGAAAAAAAATTCTGCGTATTTATATAATCATTTATTTGGACGGATATCGAGGAGCTATCTCCACCCAAACAATAATAATATATTATTATTATTATTATTAAAATTTTCGAGCCACTGAAAAAATATAAAATTAATATACGGACATTGCGCATCTCATCATGACCTGCAGCCGGAGAACACTACGTCATAATAAGTGAGTTCACCCTCACGAGCTAATGCTGTCTCATCTGTCGACATTTAATCACTTAATTTATCACATTAGTGAACCGAAATCATCTGTTCAGATCACTGCTAATAAAATATATAAAAATTAAAAATTATTTCATAGTATGCAAATAGATATGCAAATTATTATTGTCAATTGATACCTATTTTCAAAATTACTGTATGAATCAGCTATAGTGATTTTTCTATTATACTAATTTATTGATAACACATCAGCAAGATTCTTTATCGATACAAGATTTCGAAATATTTACAATCATATTGTCGTCGTGTGCAGAAATGTTTTACAAAAAAAGTATTACCTACACATATTATAATATAAACGTGAAAATATGTAAATAGGTAATTTGTTGTACCTTCATTATACATATTATTATTATGCACAAGTTTTATTTTATTTACACAAGCAAAATGTGCAGGAAATTAAATTCCGAATTCGTTGAGCAATTCTTTCAGCGAGTTAGAAAAACTCGTCTTCTTCAAATCCACGAACGAAATTTGCTTACTTAAAGACGTTATATTTTCCATCTCTTAGCGCCGTCGGCGAAGAGTCAACAGTGGTTTTCAACATTTTTCGTAGACTCGGTGTAATCTTGTTTATTGTGCGCAATTATGAATTCTAAATTATAATCACGATATATACAGAGGAAATACATTTAAAACTTTCTGAGTGATCTAAAGCGGTCGTACGCAAAACTCACGTTTTCGTGAAATATTATAAAAAAACAAAATACATTTTACAACAACTGCACAAGACGTTTCCGCCACGACATCACGATTGGGCCTTGCAATAATATTACTTACCTACGACCATAGTTGTGGTACGAGACGAGCAAATATGACACAAGTCTCTGTGACAGATAATATATGAATAATAATTGTTAATATCGCATTGATATGTTTCATGCTGCGCTTTGCCCGCCACAACACTGTAAGTTCCGAAGATTCGTATACACAATGGGCGCGGTTATCCGATCGATTGAATAGGTATGCGAGACAAACAATTTATTATATTATTATTATTATTATTTGGTAAGTTTCAACAGAGAGATACCCACATTATGTTATTATTATTATTAAACAATATGCGGGACGTACCTACCTAACTTAACCATCAGCTACCTGAATGTATAAAACAAATTATTTTCCAAGAAGAATTTCACCCGTCGTCGTCGTATAATAAGGAGTCCGATACGAAATGCAAAATGCAAAAAACAAGAAATTATATTCATTTTCTCTTGAACGTTTTCGGTAACCGCGCAAGTCTTCAGTCTCGAGACGTCGGAGAAAAAAATAAACGTCTGGCCCTATTCACTGAGATAGAACATGTACGCTGCTGTTGCTGTGGTATTATATACGAATAACAATATATATTGTTTAAAACTTAGGTTGGACGGGTATTATATCATGCCATAAAAACTATATATTGCATATACGCACGCGATAGTAACTACTATCGTCGTCGACACACTTTCTTCAGACTCGAAAAACTGATCGGTAAATAATAATATTTATACAAATATCACAATATTATCTATTCTACTCCCGTGTAATATAGTGTGCAAACACCGTGTAGTCATCTTGTAGTTCGGTGTTCGATGTTAAATAGATAATAAAAAAAAAATGAATAATAATTACAATAACATAAATATTTAAGTTTTCCAAGCGGCATAATAATAATGACGACCAGTATGTAATAATTAACAACGTCAACTATTGTGAACGTTACTATAACAATAATATTATTATGTTTGCATAATAACGACCGGCTGGGTGATATTTTGTGATATGTGGTAATATGATTGTATATTGTGGTGATATTTTACCTATTAGGTATAGTAATATTAATACGTCAAAACAGATCGATTTCACTTTTCTGTATCGCGTATGATGGTGCGACGTATCGACCCACATTATACAGTTTCAAAATTATTTTATATCGCGTATCCACACGTGGCAACTGAGAGTGGTTGAACCGAAAGAATACCCATAACATTATCTTAAAACATTTAATTCCCGGGAAGAAATCAAATTATAGAAAAAAGTAAAGAGGAAAAAGTCAAAATTTAAGTTTCGCGAGATCGTTTGAATATTAAGACTTTCAACAATCAGGTAAACAAATTAATTAAAAACACAAATGTGAGTCACGTTCGTTTGTAATTAATTTATAAACCGCTAAGCGTCCAGCATTAAATCTCGATGAGACAGAGTTAGAAATTAAATTATTTACGAACAATAACGACGCGCGCGCTCACGCTTTTACACTGGCATACCGCGGTATATTAATACGCCTAATAAGTAATCACCGTAGAAATATACGGTATACAATACCGTATGAAATAAAATATCATGCCTTACGTCGAATGAAAATCATTAAACGTAAATCTATTTGAATTATTTTTATTTTAATTCGTTTGGCGTCATCGCGATTGTTGCAAGTTGCAAATAAGATCTAACCAATCTAAAAAATTATTCTTACTCGTGTACATCATAACAATTATTAATATCAGTTTGCACGTGACGAAGATTTCGTTCGTCAGACCATCGTGCAGCCACTTTTGTCCAATACATATAGGTAAAAGCAGAGTACAAGAACTATAGATAAGTAATAGCAATAACGATCATGCTATTACGACAAAACAAAATAAATAATAACTACCTATAATATATATTTTTTATTCGAATGTATTATCCATTCTTATAAAATAAAAATATTATATTTAAAATATGAAAAAATTACCCAATAATAGGGTTAAAAAAAATAGTTAAAAAAAAATGCGGAATAATATAGTTTTTTTCTAAGAAGTACCTACTTTGATGTAATGTACATAGTATAATAAAGATATTAGTGATCTGTTGCAATGATTGTACACATTTTTACCATATTTCTATAATAATTACTAGGGCTAGGATTTTGTAGCATTTGCATTTTCTTTCATAGTACTCCAGGACATAGCTAATCAAAAACAAAATTCGATTCATTCATCACAGAGTTCAAATAATATGCAATTTTGTTTTTGCTTTTTTTGCATTTTCTTGTGATATTCGTATATAAATGCTTTATAGTTTATTGGTACTTTTTTGTCAGTTTATTAGCTTTTCAATTGGTTTTTGTTAATTATACGCATATTTTTTAACATTTACGTACATATTTATCTAAATTATTATTTTTTCATTTATTTTAATTGTATAATTATATATATTTTGTGAATTCATAGTGAAATATTATCGCCTTATCGGAAAATTTGTTTTCAAAATATTACAAAATATCAAAGAAATTTAAAATATCTTATAGTCTTTTTTAATATTT